ACAGTGAAGAGCTAGTCATCTCCCCAAGAATGGCAGGGCATGTAATGGATGGGCTTGGGGTGAAGCCTGGTGCTTCTCATTTCACTTTAGTTCAACAGGCATTTATTCTCAACTAACAGCAAAGCTACAGAGCCATAAAAAATCTGGATGCATTGCAAAGTAATTAGAAAATAATTCAGGCCTTCACTTGAATCCCTCAGCAATGCTAACAGAATGAACAAGCGGCTTCTTCCCTAATCTGCTGGGTGATGAGCAGCTTAGTGCTCTGGGCAGTTCTGGATCCCACCCATAGACTTCCTAATACCATGTGCTGCCCATCCACACACTGTGCACACCCAACAGCAGTCCATTTAGTGGACATCTATAAAATCCACTTATTCCATTTGTCTCTTGAAAAATAATGGGGGTCAACTGGAATGCTTAATTGTTGCATTTCAGACTAGAAACCAGAATTAATAGCCTGAAATCTGGAATGATTCATAGATGAACAAAATGTGAAAGCAAAATTCTCTACCAAGAGCTTATCACAGTCTCCCCAGAGCGTGTTGCAATAATGAGGGTCAAAGCACTCGATGAGTCGTGATGAATGACCGTCAGGATGGTGCCACACTGGCTGGAGGTCATCCACTCAGCTCCCTCATCATTAATTAATCCTCCAGAAACAACTTCTGCCCTGATTGTTTGGCTGCAAAACTCTCCAGATGAATTTTAGGAAATAGAAATTATGCTCTTCAGGACCAATTCTACCCTGGCAACTGGACATTGAAAGTTGAGGTCATGATTATTTGCATATCTTTAAGAATCATCTAAACAAAAAATAATGTTTTAAGACCATCTCTTCCTCTATTTATAAGAGGAGGTAATATTAAAAATAGTTTTATAACCAGGTGGTAGAAAATAGACCCAAGGCCAACATCATACTGAACAGAGAAAACCTGAAACATTTCCTTTAAACTCAGGAACAAGACAAGGATGTCCACTCTCACCACTCCTCTTCGACATAGCCCTTGAAACTCGACTCAGAACAATCAGGCAAAAGAAGGAAGTTCAAGGGATCCAAAAAGGAAAAGAAGAGGTCAAATTACCTCTGTTGGTGATATGATCCTATGTCAACAAGATGCAAAAAATTCCACCAGAAGACTTTGCAGGAAAGTAGCAGAATGCAATATCAACATTCATAAATCAATAACTTATGAATATAATACCTCTATAATGAATCTTCTGAAAAGTAAATTAGAAAAACTATCCCATTCACAATGACCTAATAAAATACTTGGGAACTAATATAAGCAAAGAGGTGAAGACCCCCACAATGAATATTATGAAACACTGAAAAAATAAATTGAAGAAGACCTTAGAAGATGGAAAGACCTCCCATGTTCTTGTACAGCAGAATTAATATTGTCAAAATGTTCATAATACCAAAAGAGATATACAGACTCAGTGAAATCCCCATTCTGAATACCAATGACATTCTTCACAGTACTAGAAAAAAAAACAGTTATACAATTAATTTGGAAGAATAACAGATCCAGAAGAGCCAAAGCAACCCTATTTAGCAAGAAGAACAATGCAGGACACAGCACAATATATCTTAAATTCTATTACAGAGATATAGTAGCAAAAACAGCAACATGCAGACATGAAACCAATGGAATAGAATAGAAATGTAGAGACAAGCCCCATGTTGGGACAGTCATCTGATATGCAAGAGAAAAGATGATCATTTTAACAAATGGTGCTGGGAAAACTGGATATCCATATATAAAAGGAGAAGCTAGATCCTTTTTTTCATCCTGCATGAAAGACAAATTAAAGTGGATGGAAGTTGTAGGAATTAGAACAGAAACTTTGCAACTGGAAGAAGAAAACTCAGGGTCAACACTTCAACATATTGGTATAGGCACTGGCTTCCTTAACAAGACCCCTAAAGCTCAAGAAATAAAATAAAAAATCAACAAGTGGAAAACCATCAAACTAAAAAAACATCTACACAACAAAGGAAACAGAGTGTAAAGAGAGAGCCTGCAGAATGGCAGAAGATCTTTGCCTGTTCCTCCATAGAAGATGAATATCCACAATATGTAAAGAAGTAAAAAATCTCAACACCAAAAAACAAATGACCCAATTAATAAATGGGCAGAAGAACTAAACAGACACTTCTCAAAAGAAGAAACACAAATGGTCAAAAATATATGAAAAATGTTCGACATCTCTAGCCATCAGGGAAGTTCAAATTAAAACTACATTGAAATTCCATCTCACTCCAGTCAGAATGGCAAGGTCAAGAATACAATTAATAATGAATGCTGGCGAGAATATGGGGGAAAGGTACAAGGTTGGTGAGACTGCAAATTAGTACAACCACTCTGAAAAGCAGTACGGAGATTCTGCTAAAAACTAGGAATCAAAGCAAATGACCCAGCTGTCCTACTCTTCAGTATTTATCCACAAAGAATTAAAATCAGCATACTATAGTGAGGCAGCCCCATCAATGATTTAGCAGTGCAATTCACAGTAGCCAAGTTGTGGATCCAGCCCAGGGGCCAGCAGATGAATGGATCAAGAAAATGTTGGTGTATATACACCATGGAGTTTCACTCAGCCACGAGAAGAATGCAGTTGTGGCATTTGCTAGTAAATTGATGGAACAAGAGAACATCCTGCTAAGTGAAAGAAGCCAGACTCAGAAACCAAGGGTTGGATGTTCTGTCTCATATGCTGGAACTAGAGCAAAATAAGTCATGGAAAGGGCAGTCAGATATCAAGAAGTCAGAGGGAAATCAGTGGAGTAGAAGGAGATTAAGGTGGGGGAGGAGGAACAGGAAAGAGGGGTAAATGCCAAATGAACATGACAAAATCACACTGTGTGTATGGCATAGCATACCACGACCTCCACCTTTATGTATATCTATAAGGCACCAAGTAGAAATAAGCAGATTACAGGTGTAATCCCAGCAGCTCGGGAGGCTAAGGCAGGAGGATCACAAGTTCAAAGCCAGCCTCAGCACAAGTGAGGCACTAAACAACTCAGCAAGACCCTGTCTCTAAATAAAATCCAAAATAGGGCTGGGGATGTGGCTCAGTGGTCAAGTGTTCCTGAGTATAATCCCTGGTACCTCCAAAAAAGTAAAAATAGAAAAATAAGTGAAAGACAGACCAGTAGAATAGAGAAAGGGGAATAGGGGGAGGGAAGAAGGGAGGGAAAATGTGGGTACTGGAGGAAAAACAATAACCAGTTTGCAAATTATGGAACAAATTTTGTGGACAAAAAAATGTTTTTACAACTACATACAATTTTGTATTCTCTCGTCTATCGCATAGAGCAGTCAGGTCCACCAGGGTAAAGTTGGTGGGAGATAGAATACCATGGGCATAAATTTAAACTAATGAGGTCTTTCCAGTTGGGTTGGGCCGATTTAAGGCTCAGCTCTCTATGAGGGTCCTGTTAACAGAGGGAAAGGGAGCATTGACCTCCGGCAGGCAATGCAGGATCCTGTCCTCCACTCTCAGGCCCTCAGGCCTTGAGATGGCAGAGGACCCTGCATTTGCTCAGACCCGGCTGATGTCCAGATGATAGAAAAGGGAGAGCCATCATGCATGGCCTTTAACAAGTTCATTTCGTTCTTATTTCTACTGATTCTTCGGGGAAAAAAATGGAATCACATCCAATTATCTGGAAGCATGCAAGCTGAAGAAGAGAGCAGGGAGTCTGCCCGCTCACTCACCCTCTGCCAGGGGATAAATCACCATTAGGGTAAACTGGGCCTTAATGCTTCTCCTAGCCCTGGAAGTTCTCACGATCTTCCCAAGCTATGCACTGTTCTGTCCACGAGGAAGAACCTTGAGAGACTGATTTATATAATGGTTTTTGAGCCTCTTTCAGGACACAAAACATCTCTTTTAATACTGGATGCCACTTGATCAAAGGAGGAAAGAGAATCACCAAATCTATTGCTATCGTCCCTGAACCCAGGGCCATTTTTATGTACCTTACAGTTAAACATGTACCTAGGACATCTTTGACTCAAGCTGTCTGGAGGATGTTCTCAGCATCTTAAGTGAAATAAATAGTAAACCTGTCATCTCTCAAATCTTAGAAGGATAATACTACTTGGCAAGAGCACATGTCCACACCTCTTGGCACTGGTAAAAGAAAACTTTAGTAACACCATTTTCTAAAGGCCTCTGGATTTGACAGGTGCAGGCTGGTGTCATGCTGTGTTAGCCCCATATAATGTGAAATGAAAAATAGCATCACAAATACCATAAAATAACTCCCAGAATTAATCAAAGACCCTCTTTCAGGGGATCAAGACCCCATGTCCACTGGCCCGGCCTTTCAGCCATGCATGCCCGCCTCGGGGTGGCAGAGAGCTCCTCTCAGGCACCTCTCTGGTGGAGCGCTGCTAATTTAATCCACGTGCTCAGCGAGCAGGGCTTCCCCAGCACGGCAGTTCATAAAAAATGTATCAGCTCTAACCGGAAAGCAGCCTTCTGAAAATGCTGAGCGTTCTTCTCTGACTCTTGGTGAGACAAGATCTACAAGGGCCTCCTCACAATCAGCCGCCTCCCGCCGCCCAGCAGCCCAGTCTCTAAGGGAAGAGGGTCCTTGCCCCTCCTGACATGCGCTGCCCTTGCTGCCGCGCTGTAGGGACTCAGCGCCAGACTCAGGGAGCCGGAGGCAGACGAAGGGCACTGTCTGCAGTGATGTTCAGCAGGCCTTTGGAACAGAACAAGAGACTGGCCAACGGCACATTAGACAGGAATGTGGGTGCAGGGGGTGGCCTCCCCGCACTCACAACACCCAGTGCACAGAGAAGCCGGAGCCGAGCACCTAGAAGGGACAGGTTTCTGCCCTGAAAACGTCAACAACTGCACCCCATGCCGGGAACGTGACCCCTCGTAACCAGTCCCCAGCCAACCAGGAAAAGCACCCTGTCGCCGCACGCCCCTGACACACGGCCCCAGCACGCAGAGACGCAGCACCCCTTAGTTACTTGCTGAGGCCTCCAGCTTGCGCTTGTGGGGTGGGTCCTCGATGATCCTCTTGAGGTCCCCACGGTTCTTCAGGTCCACAGGCTTCTCCCAGACGGACAGCTGCATCGTCGGGTTGAAGAAGAAGACCCGGTCATCGCCCGTCCAGACCACGCACCTGTTGAGCCGAAACTCACCTCAGTCACTCTCAAAGACACTAAGACCAAAGCCACTAGTGTGTGCCCTGACTCCGAGTGCCCTTCATGACTGGAAGCCACAGGTTGGTGAGGTCATTCCTGTGAAGCATGAACATGTCTCATTAGCAGGTGAATGTCCCCAGGCCTGTTCTCCTCCCAGCCAGGGACCCCAAAGCTCAGGGCAGGCAAGCAGCTCCCAAGGCCACCCCAGGTGGGGCTCTGTTTAACGTCATTCAAACCTCCCTAGTTTGGCACCCCAGGGCGATGGAGGAGCCCCCAAGTCACAGCTCATTCTCCCTCAAGGGCCACTCCACCAGTGTCTGAGCCCTGCTCCTGCTCACCTTCAGGAGAACAAAGAATCCCATGAAATGGGATTTTCGGGTATGGAAATCTAAATAATCCGAAAGGCATCATCTGCAATCATCAAACCCCTCACTCGTGGAGAGTTATCAGAAAAGATTAAGAATTTAAAAAGAGAAGAGAGAGAAAAGTCCCTTCCTAAAGATCACGGCACCACCAGGTAATGCACAGGGGAGTCTGGGTTCCAACCTCTATGAACCCTGCAAATCAGCCAGTTGAGGCCAGCTAGGGTGGCCCTGGCCATGAGCTGCCCCAACTGCTCTAGGGGTGCTGCACAGTGAGCTCCTTACTGGCCCAATCCTGTTTCTTGTCTGGGCCTCTGTGAGGTTCTCTTGGACCAGGTGTCCCTGGGCCTCAGCCTCCTTAGCCTCTGAGCGGCCTGGTGCTGTGATTTTCTGTCGACCTCTCAGCTGCTGGGGCGATGGGCAGGGGTCAGCCACATGTGCAACCATCAGGCTAAAGTTCCCTCAAGAAAGGACCCCTGACCAAAGGGGAGCACTGTCAGACACTGCCCAGGCCCCCAGGCCCCAGCATCTCGCTCACACCTCACCCTGCAGACTCACACAATGTCTGCAGTCAGCCTGGGTCAGTGCCAGCATCGGTCTCTCTGTCCTGCACTGAGAAAATCTCCCATGCTCACCCTTTTGAGGCTAGCCATGCTCGTGGGCTGCACAGAGGGCTCAGGGACCCAGCCCACATGTGATGACCTCCGGGCAGATCAGGGCCCTCCAAGAAATAACCCTGAGAAAATCTACTGGACTCCTATCCTGACCAAGCAGGGTTCAAGGGTGTGGTAGACAGAACAATGGTCCCAAAGATGTCCACATCTCCTTCCTTGTTGGTCCAGGTGTGCAGACCAACAAGTAAGGAGCTCACTGTGCAGCACCCCTAGAGCAGTTGGGGCAGCTCATGGCCAGGGCCACCCTAGCTGGCCTCAACTGGCTGATTTGCAGGGTTCATAGAGGTCGGAACCCAGACTCCCCTGTGCATTACCTGATGGTGCCGTGATCTTGGGAAGGGACTTTCCCCAGAACCCAAGCATGAATCACTGACTCAGCAAAGGGACTCTGCAGATGTGGTGAGATCTTGAGTGGGAAGGGTTCTGGATGAAGGTGGGCCTAAATGTAATCACAGCTGTCCTTGCAAGAGTGACACAGGCGGGGAGGCTTGAGGGCAGAAGCAGAGGTGGCACCTACCACACACAGAGGCAGAGAGAGACAGGAAGAAGCCAGCGACCTGCCTTGAAGGTGGAGTAAGAGGCCAGGAGCCCAGGAACCCAGATGCCCACTGGAAGCTGGAAAGGCAGCCGGAGGAGCCAGCCCTGGGCAGCCAGGCACCGTCTTCCAGGCACTCCCTTCCCTGTCCTAACAAGGACCCTCCAGTGCAGGCCCTGGGTGCTCTGGGCGCCTCTGGCCTGAGCCAGGGATGGATTGGTCTGGAGTGGGCTTCCCTAGCCCTCCCAGCTGAGCACTGCCTGGCCATGGAGACAGGCCCAAGGCCACACCCACCGCCCAGCAGCAGAAACTAAGCACACACTCTCATCAGCCAATGCTAGTGGCTTCTGGCCTCCAGAACTGGAGGAGCCCAGGCGTGCAGACCAACATGTGGCTCTGTCCCCAGAGGCTCAGAGGGAACATGCAGCACCCAGGCCCTGATCAGTGCACCCAGAAACACTGGCCACGGCAGGCCAGCTCATGATACCCAAAGAAGACTGCAGCTCCCCTTCCTGGCCAGCATGCCCTCGACCTCCTGGGGACCCTGAGAGGACCTCACTCCATCTTCCCTGTAGGTGAGGGGGATGTCCACCTCATTAGGGGAGATGGAACTAGGGCAGAAGAGCATGGTGCTCCAGGCCAGGACCCACCTCCCTCTGACCAGTCCTGTGCTGGGGGCTAGAAGACGAAGACAAGATCCATGAACTGAACCAGGACCCCTACCCAAGTGGTCAGGTCCCTTTCCTGTTCGCAGGCCAGGCAGGCCTCTGCCCTGGGAGAGGGTCAGGAGAAGCGGAGCCCCGTGGGGCCTGGAGGGAGGCTGCAGGCCTCCACAGGGAGACCAGCTGGCACTGAGGGCTTTGCTGAGTGCAGAGCCGGAGGTGGTTACGCAGAGCCGAACGTCCTGCGGGATTCATCTGCTGCATGGACTCCCTAGACCGCCTGGCCAGCAGGGAGCACAAACCCCTCACGGGAGCCAGGCTCCTTCCCCTGGACGCAGGGCTGGGGGAGGGCTGGCCATGTGCCTAGCTTGCCAGGACCCCACTAGACCCCCCCACTGGGCTGCACCCATGGGGACTATTGTGCCGGGGAGGGGGCCTGCTGAGAGTCAGGCCAGCTCCAGTCCCCCACACGGGCTTCAGACGCCCTCCCATTTGGGCTGTGATGGAAAACAGCGCTGAGAGGAAGCCCCGGGAGCTGACAGTCCATTTGCAACAGTGTTGCTCGAGTTCTCTCTCCTTCAGGACCTTTGACTGACTTGGCTTGGGTAGGAAATTCTAGAAGTATCCCTTGTTCTCTATATCCATCTGTCCACTCATAAGGTCTCCCTAGAACAAGGACTGCTTCCTGTGGTCTAGCCACAGCAGACAGACCGACTGGCATGGTCATCATGTCAGAAGGTCATCCTGCCCTGCGGTCCCACAAGCACCTGTGACTGGGCACCACACCCCAAGGTAAGGCCCCATGGCCTTAACAAGGAGATACAGACCTGTCCCCTCCTCTAGAGGCCCTGGGCTGGGAGTCCAGGGTGGGCTTTGCTTCTCTGTCTGAACACCTTAGAGCACAGGTCCATGGCTGCAGGCCTCCAAGTCTCCCTTCCCAGAAGAAGGCTGCTTCCTCCACCCTCAGTCTCCAACCTCAGTCCTAACTTCTGGACTCCTTTCCTCTTAATCTTCCAACTTGGAACCAGGACCCTGGTCACAGCCGTTGTTGGGGCCCCTCCCTGCCAATCCACCTCACTGGCAGGATGCCCACTCTGATCGCCATGAGCATTGGCTGTGCCCTTGGGAAGCCTGCAGGCCCTGACTGTCTGGGTGGAGGTAAAAGTGTGGCCAAGTCTCTCTGGTGCAAGTCACAGTCTGAAGCATGGCTGGGCTCCGACCAAGACCCCCGTCCTCAGAGCCCCTGCCCGGCCTCCTTTCCCCCTCTCTGGCTGACGTCCCCCTATAACTTTCAGGCATGGGCGCTGCATCCAGGAAGCCCTGCTCAGGACCAGCCCCACAGGTAGGGAAGAACTGGGTGTTCTCGGGAAGCCTCCCAGTAGACTAGTTGGGAGGAACTCACAAACCTCACCTTCCTAAAAGACCTGCACTTCAGGTTTTCGGAGAGAAACCCGAGACCTCCCAGCATGGCACAGCCTTTGCCGGACCCAGGAGGTAATGAGAAATGCTCACTGAGGCGCACCGGTTAATTAAGATCTGGTGCTTGGAGAATGCATCGGCTCATTTGATCCATGCCACCGTGGACAGGGCATTTCTGTCCCAACTACTAAGAAGTTGGAGGCTTTGGAGAGTCAGCCTCAAGGCGGAGGGCAAGGTGGGCGCCAGCTACCCCAGCCTCCAAGGGCTCCGCAGGCTTTCCCAGTGTGGGGCAGATGGGCTCCCCAGGTGCTCTGTAGTACCTGCTGGCTCTCCTGAATGCGAGGGCCTCCTGGGTTCTGAGCAGGCCCTGGTTAGAGGAGACGACGAGGACAAGGGACTAGGGGCTGAGAAGCAGGTAAGTGAAGACCATCCATGAGCAGGCCAGGAATGCACAGGACCCTGTGGTGGATGCTAACCATGGGGGGTTTCAACTGGGGGCCCCAAGAGCCACTCACAGACGTCCTGCCACCTGGACCCCAGGCTGTGGTCAAGGCAGAGGATCTGGGCAGGTGGACTAGTGGTTTGGGAAGCCACAGTGGAAGGTTAGCCACATGGAAGCTTCCCAAGGGTAAGGCTGCATGGGAAGGTGCTGGGCACCTGGCCTCCTCTAGAGGAGGGAGGGAAGGGCAGGGCTGCCCAGATCAGGCTGAGCCCTGGGGGAGGCACCTGGGATCCTCCCATTTCCACTGGAAACCAAACATTCACCAGACCAGAGCAACCCAAGGGAGCCAGGCCCTTGGGCTCCCTGCTGGGGCTGCTGGCCTCCACCTGGCATGCCTCTCTCCCAAGGGTCAGAGGTGTGGGGTCCCTGAGAACGTGAATCCCCAGGCCCTTCTGATGGGCTCCATTCATTTCCTCATCAAGTCCTGAGGTATTTTGCCTTCTCACAGCTAACTCAGACAGGGGCTTCACATTCAGGGATTCATATTTATTTGTCCAAATTCTCCCCGATTCCATATCAGTCTTGGTTTTAAATTTGGTGCTTCAGTGGATGCACTGGTGCTGGCTCCTGGTGTCTGGAGCAGAGATGCCCATGGACCATCTAAGGCCCTGGAATCCTGGAACACCACCGGTGCAGGAGGCATCACCAACACCCCAACTTGCACCAGCGAACTTGAGCTTCTAATACCAGAAGGAGAGGAGCTAATTAGGGACTAATGGGGGAGTGTGGTCCAGGAGGGGGAAATGGCAGCAATTAACACCGTGCACATTAATATCCAGATACAAGGGCTGGATTTGTGGCGCAGCGGTAGAGCACTCGCCTGG